TTCCTTCCTTCCTTCCTTCCTTCCCTCCCTCCCTCCCTCCCTCTCTCTTTGATTATAGCCATCTTAGTGGGTGTGAAGTGGTACCTTGTAGTTTTGATTTCATTTCCATGATGACTAAGGAGGCATCTTTTCATGAGCTGGTAGCAATTTGTGTATCTTCTTTGGAGAAACCTCTATTCAAGTACTTTGCTCATTTTAAAATCAGGTTGTTTGCCTTTTTGTTGTTGAGTTGGAAGACTTCTGTATATACTCTGGATACTAAACCCGTATCAGATATGTGATTTGCAAATATTTTCTCCCATTCTGTAGGCTGCCTTTTCACTTTCTTGATAATGCCCTTTGGTGCACAAAAAAATTTTAATTTTGAAGACCAATCTATTTTTTCTTTTGTTGCTCATGCTTTTGGTGTCATGTCTAAGAATCTATTGCTGATACCAACGTCATGAAGATTTACCTCTATGCTTTCTTTTAAGAGTTTTATGGTTTTAGCTCTTCTATTTAGGTTATTGATCCATTTTGAGTTAATTTTTGTATATAATATGAGTTAGGAGTCCAACTTCATTCTTTTGCATGTGGAAATCAGTTGTCCCAGAACATATGTTAAAGAGACGATTCTTTCCCCATTGAATGGTCTTGATACCTTTGTCAAAAATCAATTGGCCATAGATGTGTGGGTTTATTTTTGGACTCTCAATTCTATTCCATTGGTCTGTATGTCTATCTTTATGCCAGTACCACTCTGTTTTGACTATCGTTTTGTAGTAAGTTTTGAAATTGGGAAGCATGAGTCCTCCAACTTTGTTCTTTTTTAAGGTTGTTTTGGCTATTTGGGGCCCTTGCAGTTCCGTATGAATCTGTATGTCGCTTTGGGTAGTATGGCCATTTTAACAACGTAGTCATGCGTCACTTGACGGGAATACATTCTGAGAAATGCATCATTAGGTGATTTTGTCATTGTGTGAACATCAGTGTACTTACACAAACCCAGATGGTATAGCCTACTACACACCTAGGCTGTATAATACTAATCTTATGGGACCACCTTCATATATGCGGTCCATTGATGACGGAAACGTTGTTAAGTGGTATGTGACTGTAGTAAGTCTTTCAATCCATGAGCGTGGGATGTCTTTCCATTTATTCAGGTCTTCTTTAATTTCTTTCAGCAATGTTTTGTAGTTTTCAGTGCATAAGTCTTTCACCTCCTTGGTTAAATTTATTCCTAGGCATTTTATTCTTATAAAAGATGGTATTGTAAATGGAATTGTTTTCTTAATTTCCTTTTCAGATTGTTTATTGCTGGTGTATAGAAACACAAGTGCTTTTTGCACGTTGATCTTGTATCCTACAATTTTGCTTAATTTGTTTATTACCTCTGGTAAGTGTTTTGTGGGTGTGGATTCTTTGGGATTTTCTGTATATAGGATCATGTCATCTGTGAAAAGAGATGATTTTATGTCTTCCTTTCCAATTTGGATGCCTTTTGTTTCTTTTTCTCATCTAATTGCTCTGTCTAGGACTTTCAGTACAATGTTGAATAGCAGGGGTGCAAGTGGGCACCCCTGCCTTATTCCTGATCTTAAAGGGAAAGCATTCAGTCTTTCACTCTTGAGTGTACATTAGCTGTGGGTTTTTCATACATGTGCATTATTATGTTGAAGTTTCTTTCTATTCCTAATTTTCTGAATTTTTTTCCCATTAAAGGCTGTTGGATTTTGTCAAATGCTTTTTCTGTGTCCATTGAGATGATCATGTGGTTTCTTCCTTTGTTCTATTGATGTGGTTTGTTACTTTGATTGATATTGAACCACCCTTGACTGACTTTTCTTTGAAAAGAAACTTGAGGACCTTAAAAGAAAAACTTTCTGACTCTGTGTATTACCTAGAAAATACCCTTGACAACATTTCAGCAAATTCTGTTGCCCAAAGTGTACAAGAAGTACGTGGATCCTGTAGTTCTGGGAAATCTTGAGAACTTTTCCACTTCTCTTAAGAACATTGTGTTGCAATCAAAAAAGAAAAAGCCTTTTAGATACTAAATTGATATGCTTGAGCTCTGTGATCTTGCTTTTTTAATGCTTCTGGCATATAATTGTGGCAAAATTGGTTCAGAAATTTCAACATGTTCAAGTTGCATTTTTATTTGTTTGGTTTTTAACATTTCCTTCAAATAACAATGATCTACTCATTAATAGGGCAGAGTTAGTGTAGTGAGAAGAGGCGTGGGTTAGAAATCAGAATATCTGAATTCATTTGTTTGACAAAATGAATTTTTGTCCATTGTTAAGCTCTCACTCTATATCAGGCACTGTTCTAGACCCTGGAACAGAACAGACTCTCCTTGGTGTTGTTGAGCCTTCATTCTATTGTGAGCATACCCTACATCAGGTGTACTAGCGCTGTGAAGAAAAGAAGGCAAGGTGCTCATCCTCCTTCCAGGACATGATGATGATTATGATAATAATACAATGACGATGATGATAGTGATGAAGATGATGTTGCCAGAAGCAACAATCCCCTTATATCTACAAATTGGAATATAATGAGGAGTGTTTTTTTTTTTTTTTTCAGATACCAGCTTTAGTATATTCACAGAGTTGTGCAACCATCACCACCAAAAATGTCCTAAATCAATTTTAGGACATTTTCATCACTGCAAACAGAAACCTTGTACCCTTTAGCCATCACCCCTATCCCACTTGCCCTAGGCAACCACTAGTCTTTCTAGCTCTATGAATTTGCCTCTTCTGAGCATATCATACATATGGAATCATACAATACATGGTCTTTTGTGACTGGCTTCTTTCACTTAGCATAATGTTTTCAAGATCCATCCATGTTGTAGTGTGTGTCAGTGTTTCATTCCTTTTTATGGCTAAATAATATTCCATTGTATGGATAGACCATGTTTTGTTTATCCATTCATTTGTTGATGGACATTTGTGTTGTTCCTACTTTTTGGATATTATGATTTATAACAGAGTCCTTTATCATACATGATCTCATTTAGTTCTCTCTCACATGCATGTTTATGATTTATGGTGAGCATTTGTTAGGGTACCTAAATTAGAGGTAAGAAACTGAGATCCAGAGGGGCAAAGGAACGTGCCCACGACCACAGAGCATGTTATGGGAAGAGCTGGAAGAGAACCCCTTCTCCACTCTCTGTCCTGTGCTCCTCCCCTCTGGCTCTCTCAGCTGAATACACAGAACCCCAACTGCCTCTTGCTTCACCAGCTCCTTTAAGAGAGACATAACTCGATTATGTAGACCTAAAACGTCTCTCCTTTTCTCCTTACAGATTTTCTGAATGACCCTGCTTCTTTTCCTATCTTGTCTGATTTTCTCCTGTCTGACCTTTTCCTGGTTGAAAATCTGGGGGAAAATGATGGACTCCAAGCTGGTCACCAAGAGTAAATCGGAAGCGAGCTTCATCCCAAGCCAGGAGCCCTTTCCAGCCTCAGACAGCTCAGGGGAGCCACCACAGGAGAATGGCGACAGCAGCTCTCTGCTAAAGACTTCTAACCAGGCTGAGCCAGCCTCCCACAAAGGTCCGAAAGATGCCTGTCAGCAAAGCATGTCCCAGCCACCCTCACACCAGAATCCCCCAAGAAACCCCCTTTCCTCTAATGACACCTCCCCAGCCAATGGGACAGGGACTGAAGGACTGGAGGCCCCAGATACCAACGGCCTGTCCTCGCCAGCCAGGCCCCAGGGCCAGCAAGCCAGAACCCTCTCCAAGGAAGAGGAGAAGCAGGCACACATCAAGAGGCAGCTAATGACCAACTTCATCCTGGGCTCCTTTGATGACAACTCCTCTGATGAGGACCCTGGCACTGGCTTGTTCCGAGAGTCTTCCCGGAAGGGCAGCCGGGCCAGCCTGGGCGCCCTGTCCCTGGAGGCTGCTCTGACTGCAGGCGAGCCTGAGACCCTCATCCCTATTATAAGGTAATGTATCCTTTGTCCTCACAACCAGGAGGTGCAGAGTTAGGATGGGGTCTGCATCCTTCCCTGCGCAGTCAAGCCATCAGCTGATGCCAACACTTTGAGGACAGCTATGTGAAAAGAAGATATAAGCTTTCCTCCTTCCTTCTCTCCTTTCAAAATAGTTTATTGAGCATCTATTGCATGTACAGGGCCTCATGCCAGGAAACTGGCTTTCCAGAAGATCTCAGCCTACTTGGGGAAGATGACCTTGTCTGTAACTAGTTATAATTTAAGGCTGGCAAGAGCCTTGAGGGTGATGGGAGGCTGGAGGGAGGGACAGTTTCCCTGCTTCCTGAAGGGACATTCATGCATTCATTCGACAGGTAGCTAACAACTCAAAAACACACCTTCTCCCAGTGATGCCTTAAAATCAGAAACTCAAATGCTATAACCACACCCATCAATTTGATGGTTGGAAACAAACACCTAAAGGTCCATTACAGGTGGGACCATCCCAGGGGTGCAGCTGGTGGCTTTGTTTGTTTTTTTGTTATCAAGCTTTGCCACTTCTACTCCCAACTTACAAGTGGAATATGGTAGTTCCAGGTAGAAGACTTGGGAAATATAGGAGAGCAGAGAGTGGAAAAGAGCCACCAACAGCAACTTTGCCAGTCAGAGAGAACCTCTGCTCTGTTCTAGAGTTCCTTCCTTCCTTTAGTGTTTTTCTTCCCTGGGATTGGAATCTTATTGGCTGTTCTTTTAAGCACCTCTTGTACTCACTCTCCCAAAATGAGAAACACTTGGACGAGGAGATGGGTTCTTGCATAAGCACCATGTTCCCAGTGAGCGTATTTTTAACCCTGGTTACCAGAAGTAGGAAATAGAGAAAAAAGAAAATGCAAGTATTCCGTATACTGATGGTCTTCTGAGGAAGACTATTTTGAGTTCCTGGAAGGGTTAAAGGAAGAGAAGGCTTCAGGGTCTGGTACAAAGAGCACAGTCTTTGGAGTTGGAACCCGGAGTTGGGTTCATTGCCGGCTCTGCTACCCAGTACTGTGTGACCTTGGGCGTGGTATCTTACCTCTCCCAGCTTCAGGCCCTCATCTGCAAAATGTTGAAGGGATTAAATGCGATAATGTTTGTAAAGTATGCACAGAGTTTGGTACACAGGAGGTGCTTAATACGCAGTAGACTCCTCCCCAGCTCTTTTCCTGAGCCTGTCTTCTGCCCACCAGCACCCACTTCACCCAGCACTTGAATTTACCCAGAGCTGTCCCACCCCGCTTCTGCCTACAATTTATATAAATTACCCACTTACGCCTTATAACAACAGTACAAGGCTGGTGGTGGATCCCCATTTTGCAGATGAGTAAACTGAGGCTCAGAGAGGTGAAGTACTTATCCCAAGATCACAGAGCTAGCAAGTGGCAGAGCCAAGTTTCAAGGTCAGGTCTGTCGGACTGCAGAACCCAGGTTCTACCGTGCCACTGTGTGCTCTCTCCTCCAAACCCCTTTCTTTCCCTCAGTGTGGCAATTTCAGTAGGGATTAGGGAAAAGCAGTTTATTAAACCAATTCCCTCAAATTGACAAACATCAGAGATTATGTTAGAAGTGGTTGTCCAACGGGGGGTTGCCAAGTGGGATCGGAGTAGGAGGGATGGTGAGATACATTTATCGCAATAGCTACTGCAGGAAACAAGACAGATAGTCCTGCCAGGGAGATGGGAAATATAAAGATAAACAGGTAAACCGAGAAGATAGTTTCCACATGTGTCCAATGCCAGGAAGGAAACAGGGTATAGGAGGGGGAATACCTGAGGGGATCTATTTTAGAAAGATGTGGTCAGGTCAGGAAAGAGCTCTTGGAAGAGGCAACTTTCAGGCTAGACCAGAACAGGCCAACAGAACCTTCTGCCCTAATGGAATATTATAGAATGGAATGTTCTAGAACTGTGCAGTCCAACATAGTAACCACTAGTCACATGTGACTATTGAAATTGAAATGTGACTAGTGGGACTGAAGAACTGAATTTTTAATTTATATTTTAATTAATTTAAATTTAAATAGCCTCGTGTGGCTGGTGGCTATTGTATTGGACAGTGCACATGCAGCCCTAATGGATAAGAAGGAACCGACCATGTGAATTATTTCTACTGGTGCTAATTAAGAACCTATCAAATAGTAACATTATTACTATTGCTATTCTTTCCTAAGTCTTGGATTCCCAGAAAGTTGTGAGGGTTAAATGAACTAATATTTCTAAGGTACTTAGAAAGAGCATAAAGCAGTCAATAAATGGTAGGTTAAAATATGGAGTGGGGGCAAGTCTCCCGACTTTCTACTCTCTGTCTTCCACCACTATTTTGAGGGGTCTTTGCTCATTTGTGCTTAAACTACAGCTTTTCTGAGCTGGCGAATTTATCAAGGCAAAAGATACTTAGCCAAGGGCCCATCTCTGCATGGCTATGAGCCAAAATATTAAGTGAATTTTTTGCCCTTGTATCTTCACTGCATAGAAACTTAGCATTGTAGATAAATCATTTATGCTTGCCTTGTCCCAGCAAAGGACTGGGAGGAGGGTCAGGGAGATCTTGGTTTTTATAAACTGGAGGCATCCAACATTGAGATGAAGGCGCCTTGTGGGGTGGTGGGAGATGCCAAGGGCCACGATGGGGCGCAGGGAGGACCGATGTGCTGTGTGACCTTGGGTAGGTCCCTTACCCTCTCTGAGCCTCCAATTCCTCATCTATAGCATATGGGCACTGGACTAGCCCCCTGAGGTGTGACCCCTGGTCACAAAGCTGTAGGCACCCAGTTCTTTTTGTCCCCAGTGGATGTGCTTTTCAGAGTTGGGAATTTAGAATTTTAGCACCCAGGGTCAGCTGGGGTACTTCTGCTGATGCTTCCCAAGGTACTGGCATTTCCGTGAGGAACATTTCCAGCCCCAACCGAGTCCCCGAATCAGGGGCCTCCAGTGGAGGAGACCCTCATGTGTTCATTGTTTCTAATGAGCTGGAATGAGAGTCCCACGTGGAAGCATCTTCAGGGAGTCGGGGCTTAGACATTGTCCTAGTGCCATTGCCCCTCATGGTTGGCTGGATGAAAAATTATGTCAAAACCTGTGCATTCGAGCCTGTTGGAAACAACCATATCGAAATGAGGCTAAGCATTCTCTTCTTCTGTTGTAGAGTTTCGGCTTTGGTGTTTTGGCATCTTTGGGACTGTCAGTAGCCTGGTGTTTGGCAGTCCCCTGTTGACCCTTTTGCTCACACCCAAGGGTAGGGCCTTGGGCCAAATCTCTGAAGGGATGTTCAGGGGGACCCTCTACCCTTCCAAAAAAACTCCTGCAAAGTGTGGCTTTGTGGAGGGCCACTGCTGCACTGCTTCTCTTCTATGAGTGGTAATGCCTTTTCCCGGGGGCCCACAGGTCGAAATCTCAGGCCACTTTGTGGTGTGAGTCACCGAGAGCGGGTGGGCAGGCTGGCATGCTGCCTGCAACCAGCCAGAAATCAGGAAATGCAGCCTGACATAGAAGGCAAATGTGGTGACACAGTCCCTGTTAGAATCCAGGAAGCTCCTTTCATTATTATTTTCTTTCCTGATAAGCTGCCAAATCGCTGCACTCTCCGGCAAATCTCTTAACCTGTTGAGGCCCAGTTTCTGCAAAATGGAAGCAGGGAGTAGGGTTTTGGGCTGGACCTGCCAGCCCTAGTCTAACGCCTTCCCCATTTCGAAGACAGAAAACTCAGACCTGGGGTGTGTATTCCAGGGCTCTGCGCTCACGTGGAAACCACAGCAAAGAAGTGAGGTATGTCTGTGGGTCTTCCCTGCCCCGTGCAGTTTCCTCAGGGAGCCACTTGGCTTCTGTGCTGCCCTGAAGGTCACCTTGTGGCCCACTCTAGCCTCTTCCTGCCAGGCCACCAGTTGGGAGACTGGCTAGGCATGGATGGAAAATGCACGTGTTCAAGTTTTTGCTTTGGGAGGAAACTTTTTTGAAGCAGTCTTCAAAGGGGCCTTTTTCTTCCTGCTGTGCCCTCCTCATCCCAGAATACTCCCATCCCCATTCGGAGCCTTTGCGCTGGCTGTTGCATCTGAACTGAAATGCTCCTTTTCCCTTCAGGCCCCTAGACCTCCCACCAGGGTCACACATGGCCTTGTGTGCTTGCTTTAGTGCTCTGTTATCGCCCTCTTGAGATTCTTAATAACTTTTGGACAAGGGGCTCCACATTCTCATTTTGCACTGGGCCCTGTAAATTCTGTAGCCAGTCCCGCCTCCACATCCAGCTCTTTGCCCATCAAAGTCACCCTCCCTGAGGGCCTTCCCTGTCTGCTTCCCACCTACAAACACGTGCCCACAGTTTCTTGATCAATCACTGCGATGTGTTGTTTTCACAACCCTTAATCACTCCTTGAGGTTATGTCTTTAATTTCCTTTTTTGTTTACCTGGTTGTCACCTGTCTCCCACACTGGACAGCAAACTCCATGAAAACAGGGCCATCTTTATGGGGTCTCTGCTTTTCCCCACTGCCTAGCCTAGTGCAGGTTCACAGCAGACTTTGAATAAACATTTGCCAAATGCCTGAATGAAATGAGCAACCCAAGCTTGCCCAAGACAGAATTCTGCATTCCCGGGGCATGGAAAACGCTTGATAATGAGTCTGGGAATGGATGAATGACTGCATGGATGGATGAATGGAGGAAGAGGAGTTTTGTTGTTGCTCTTTAGCAGCAATTGCATTTTTGTTTTCATAAAATTCTTTTTGCATAAATCTTCTGACTTTGTAGACTAGTTCTGGGGTTAAACTCTAATTCTGACTTTTTCTTCTGCCTTTAATATGCAGTATCACTCCCCCCACCTCCCCGTCCATTTCCGCACCTGACGAGGGCTAAAATTTTAGATCCAATGACTTTGTGCTGTTTGTTCAAGCCTCCCCTCCTGTCTCTTCCCTTTCGGGTTCATCTCAGGCCAGGGGCTGGGACTTGGCCTTTCATTGGACTTGGAAACAGTCCTGAGGGTTG